TATTAGCAATATTTTTAATAATTATGACTCATTTGTGAATGATACAATTGAAACACGAACAAAGTTTGAAATAGAACTTTACTTGGAAGAAATTTATTTTCCTAGGAGTGCTACTTTTAACATTCTTGAATGGTGGAAAAAAAATGGGATCAAGTATCCAATTTTACAAAAAATTACCCAGGATGTTTTGGTAATCCCAATTTCAATCATAGCTTTAGAATTTGCATTTGGTACAAGAGGTAGATTTTTTAATCTTCATCATTCTAGACTCCATGAATTTACTCTAAAAGGACTTATGTGTGCATAAAGTTGGTTGAAACACAAGTAACAAGGTAATAAATAATTAAACTTTTTTTATTTAATAAAAATTGTTTTATTTTTTATTGTTGGTTTTAATTAATTTACATTATCTAATCATTCATTTTCTTGTCATGTGGTTTCTATTGGTATCACTAGACCAAAACAATATATAGAATTGGAAGACAAGCATTTGCAAAATTATAGAGAAGTTGATTTCGACGACGAGATCAAATATCTACATATTTGTTTTTTGAAATTTAGTGTATATAATTTAATTTATAAATTTAATCTAACTACTTTTTGGGAATTTTTTACTCAAATAATACATTTTTTTAAAAACAATTACCCAAATAGTAACTTTGCAAATTTATGTCCCCAACTAGCATCATTTACTGTTCACTTTTTTTTCGCGTTTTGGAACGACCCATTCTGCAATCAAAACGGGTTGTTCTACTTGAGCATGCGTTAATTTTGCATCTGAAACGGTTCGTTCCAAAGTCAGAATGGACCGTTCTGACACCTAGAACGGGCCGTTCTAAAACTAGAACTGGCCGTTCTAAACTACGTTTTTAGGCCTTTTTAGAAGTTTAGAACGGGTCATTCTGGTTTTGGAACGGGCCGTTCTGGTTTTGGAACGACCCGTTTTGGGGAAGAGGGGAATATTATATTCAAAAGGTTATTTTGGACCTTTAAACCATGCATTGATGGTTTTGCCTTCTGCAAACCAATTGTTCAAGTTGATGGAACCTTTTTATATGGCAAATACAAAGGTACGTTATTAGTCGTAGTTGCGCAAGATGGTCGCAACAACATAATTCCTATTGCATTTGCTGTTGTTGAAGGTGAAACTAGCGATGCATGTTTTTTTTCTTTCTTAAGAACTTAAGGCGGTATGTAACACCACAAGACGGGTTGTGCCTAATTTCTAATCGTTATGAGGCTATTCGAAGTGCATACTCAAGAAATGGAAGTGGTTGGACAAAAAATAATTTTGTCCATGTTTATTGTATTCGACACATTGCACAAAACTTCATGCGATGATTCAAAAATGCAGCACTGAAGAAGGATGTCGTCAACATGTGTAATTTTATCATTACTTTTTTTAAACATTTAATAATTAGTTTTCAGTTTTTAATTATTATTTTTTTCAACCTATGGGATGACTGAACCTAGATTCTTTTACTATTGCAACATAGTAAGAGATATTAATGTTGAAGCAGACCAATGGTTAGACAACATTCCTAGGGAAAAATGGACACTAGCATGGGACAATGGACGATGTTGGGGACACATGACAACAAACCTAACTGAGTCTATTAATTCTGTATTGAAGAAAACACGAAATCTGCCAATTTGTTCCATGGTAATGGCCACATACACTCGTTATAACAAGTTTTTCATTCAAAAAGGCAGGGAAGTGGATGCAATGATTAATGTTGGACATGTCTACTCGGAAATTGCAAGTAAAACTATTCAAGATGAACAGTCCAAGGCAAATACTCATAGAGTTATTACCTTTGACAGATCAAGCACTAGATTTCTAGTGGAAGAAACACAACATCCGAGAGAAGTTCGACCCGCTGGGAGATTTACAGTAAGGCTAGATGAAATGTGGTGTGATTGTGGCAAGTTCTAGAAAGTTCATATCACTTGCTCGCATGTACTTGCTTCATGCTTACATGCACGTCACAATTATCAAACCTACATATCTCCCATATATACCTTACAACAAGTTGCAAAGGTATACGAAGGACAGTTTGGAGAGCTCCGACATGAAGATTATTGACCTACTTATACTGGTCCAACTATGTGGCCAAATCCAGAACTCAAGAGGACTTCCAAGGGTCGGTCAAAGTCCAGCAAGATTAGAACAGAGATGGATATTAGAGAACAACATAATCGTGTAAAAAATTGTTTCTATTGTCACACCTCTGGTCACACTAGGAAGACATGTCCAAATATTGGTCATGGATTTAGTTCCCGTCACCATTGATTTTATTGTTATAATGAGTTTTAATAAATTTATTTAGTTATATTTATAATGTTAATATTCAATAAATTTAATTACTTGATGTTACTCTTTGAGACTACGTTGTATTTGTGTTGAAAGGGTAAATTGTGTTCGCTGCAATGTTAAGTTTGAAGCTAGATTTAAAGGAAACACCTTTGAAGTATGAAACTATAGTGTCTTAAACTTAAAAACACGAGATGATAATAATGGGACCTTGTCTTAATAGATTCGAAACTTGTACGAGTCAAATTGTGGCTAATAATGAAAAATCTGGATAACCTGCACATCACACTACGAAAACATGTCCAAATAATGTATAATTATAATAGTTTATAAGCTAAACATTAAAATTCATGTTACATTGATAAAAAAAAAGTATAGTGCATAAAATTGGGCAGAACGGGTCGTTCCAAAAGCAGAACGACCCGTTCCAAACTACTAAAAAGGGCTAAAATCCCTAGTTTAGAACGAGTCGTTCCAACATTGAGGTTATGTGAAAAAACTCAACTCTAGAACGACCCGTCCCGTTCTGGTTTAAGAACGGGCCGTTCCATTTGCAAAAAAAACACGACGAGGATACATGTAGAACGGGTCGTTCCAGTTGCAAAACTCCCAGTTTACCTGGATCTAAAACGAAAAAAAATATATATGTAAATAGTAAATGGTGCTAGTTGGGGAAATAAATTTGCACCGTTGCTATTTAGGTAAATTTATTTTAAAAATATATTATTTGAGTAAAAAAAACTCACTTTTTGGAAAAAAAAATTTCATATGTCTTGGAGAATATTATTAATACAAGAGCATGATATTGGAAGTTTAATTACAACTTTTATTATGTTAAATTTTTTTAAAGTTTATTTATAAGAATTTAATGTTTTGTAATATTTATTTATAAGAATTATTGTGTTAGATTTTTATAATGTTAAAGACTTGACAAATTAATATTATGTTTGTTTGTATGAAATGTTATCTTTTTATTGATTTATTTACTTTATACATAAGTGAAATGCATGTGCGGGTATGGGTATACAAGTACCCAATGGGCGCGAGGATAAGGATTAAAATTGCTACCAGCGCGGGTATGTGACTAGGTATGGGTATTATTTTTAAACATGGATATGAGATCAGGTACTATAGGACCCAATCCAAACCTTACCTATTGTCATCCCTAGGTAAAACCAATCAATAGAATGTGTACACCAAAAAGACATATTGCTTTTATGAATAATGTAGATAAAAAAAAACTAATATTCAAATGAAATTTACACTAAATTATTAATATATTTTACATCCTAAGTAAATTTGTCTATTTAAATTAATTTTATAAAATAAATAATTGTCCTTTTTTTCTTTTTTTTTCTTCCTTTTTTTTCTTTTCTTCTTTAATTTTTTGGTAGGCTAACTTGTCGACTTGCCAACTCACCCTTAGGTAGGATGAGCCAAAGTGTCCAGTTTTTAATTGGTAGGTCAGCCCAACTCTACCCATTTTTGTTGGGTTGATGGTAGGCCAGGTCCAAATAGACCAAACTGGTTTGTTTTACCATTTTAATTTTGCACACCTCCTACCACTCACTAGAGTCATTTATACATCTTAAAATTAAATAAATAAATATAAAGCATTTTTAAGATTATCCATTAATTTAAATTAATAAAATAGAGTATTAAATAATTTTTAAATTTTGTGAAATTTTGTTAATCTAATTTATGCATTAATAATTTTTAATTCAATGGTTGGATCGTTAAAATTTGATGTAGAATATAAATTATTGAATAAAATAAATCTAAGTAAATTTACTCTTAGAATAAAAGAATCACTCATATATATATATATATATATATATATATACTCAACTATATATATATATTCCTCGTGACTTATGAGGTAATTAGTTATGTTGTTGGATTAAATAAAAAAGAATAAAATGAGTATATTTTTGCGGAAAGGGTACCTATCAGAATGGAGGAATAGAAAATTTTGACCACACTGAAAGATGTTCAACAACTAAAACATGCCTTGTTTCATGCTAAACTAGATTAACGAACTTCTATAAAATTCAGCAATGGTCTAGGAATATCAGCATTTTTTCTTGGATTTAACTTTTTAGAGTGAACATCTCACTTTAGACAATAAAGTAAATAATCTTAGTAAACTGCGGGAAAAAAATTGACAATAGAAAATGACATAAATAGAAAAATATGACATTGAATTGAAACATAAGATGTGCTAGCAACCTAACGAAACAGAGAGAACTATCTTGAAGTTGTTACCCAGATTTTAAAATGACAACTTGTACAAAAAGATCTCACCCCACATGGAAGCATACTACATAAGAATAGCCCATATCATTCTTGCTATTTGATTCTTGCAAGTGTTGTTGTGATATAAACTATTGGCGAAAATATTAATAATTGATATTTCATGTACATACACTTTTAAAATGTACTCTTTTACCATGTAATTGTCACACTAACTAAATTGTCCACTTAACAAATGACATAATTATAAATGTTTTTGTCACATCATTACTTAACGATTCAAGTTAATTGAAGAAACTAAAAAATCAAATTAAATTTATTTTTGAAGTGACTCATCAAACTTTTTTCTTAGACCAACAACAACCAGATATAATGAGAGAAGAAAAAAAAATATTTTACCCTAAAAGATATATCAAATTTCATTTAGAATGACTTTTTACAACCTTCATTCTCAGCCATTGATTTTGCATAAAAAGCAAGCAAGTAATTCAAAATGACATGACAACTACACTACATTGTACATGAATTAAACAATTTTCTCAACACTTAAACGTGAAACAATCACAAGATCAATATCACACCAAACAACACAAACATACACAAAAACATTGAACAAGGACAACAAACAATACATGGCAAACACAAAACATAGGGGGGAGATGTAGGAAGCTAGTGAAGGAGGAATAGTTTTCAGTAATTTCCAGCTTCATCTACTCCTTCATCCCCAACTTCTTCATAGTCCTTTTCAAGGGCAGCAAGATCCTCCCTGGCTTCTGAGAATTCACCTTCTTCCATGCCTTCACTCACATACCAGTGCACAAATGCCCTTTTGGTAAACATGAGGTCAAATTTGTGGTCAATGCGAGAGAAAACCTCTGCCACGGCTGTGTTGTTGCTTATCATGCATACTGCTCTTGACACCTTGGCAAGATCTCCTGCAGGTACCACTGTTGGAGCCTGGTAGTTGATACCACACTTGAAACCAGTAGGGCACCTGAAATAAAATTAATTATCAAAACCACTGATTCATTTTTAGTTTCTCTTCTCTTTAAAAGGATAAGTCAAAGAGAATTTTAAGAAAAAGAAATTTTAGGAACACTCTCTAGTAACCTCTTTTAAACACACTCTCTGGTTGTATAAAATTTATTAGAATACACGTTCTCTCTATTTAATGATTTTCTTTCCTAATTTTGTGATCTTCAATAAATTTTAACCACTAAAAAAAAGTATATTAAGAAGAGCATGTTAAAAAATATGATCCTAGACACTTTTAAAAAAAGAAATGAACTTTTAACAAAGAACAACTTTTTTATGGTCAGTGAATAAAAGTTTTTAATCAATCATTAGGAATTAGAAGAAGTTTATGTTAACGGGAAGGGAATAAGGTATAAATTGCGTTATCTTAATTAAGGAAGTTTGTCTAAGGTAAAAGAAAATAAGGATATATCAAAAATGAAATTTCGTTCAACAACGAGATTACCAGCATAATTTATCCTAAATTTAAAACTCTTATTTTTAACTTCAAATTTAAAACAGTTATTAAGTTTAATAAAGCTAGGCCAAACATTTCATAGGATTTAACAAGGGGTAAGTTCAGGTCTTTCAATCTCATGAGTGAGCAGCACCTAATAATTATATTGGACAAGAACTTAAAGAATAACTTATTTTACTGCACTAGTTTGTAATTTATCAGTGTTTCTACTACCAATCTTTTCACAGCAAATAATTCAACCCATGGCCATGGACCAAACTGAGCCCCACACCAACATGCACCTCACTTAATGAACAAGGTATTCAAGAAAAAAAAAAAAAAAAAAAAGATCCCCAAAATTGGGACTAATCTTCCTATTTTATTTTTTTTTTACAAAGTTTTCAGTCAATAATCCAAGTAGAGAAATTACAAGATTTAACATTGCATAAACTGTTCTAAATCATCAAACAACAATCTTTACCACTTAAGATTGTCATGCAAATAAGTATAATTTTGATAGTTCAAGGCTTATTTTCCTGGTAATTATAATCATTTTGTATCTAAATCTATACAAAATCAAAGAAAAGGCTCAATTATTGAAGGAACTGAAAAACTACTATGAAAAGTCTATATACTAATGATCAAATAGTTAGGATCAGAAAAGAAAAAACAGAACATGCAAAGATCATGCCATCCAAGTTATTTACATCTCATATTATGATGTTCTTCCAAGGATTAAGGAAGTGTACTTACCAGTCAACAAACTGAACCTGTCTCTTTGTCTTGATATTTGAGACAGCAACGTTTACATCTTTGGGAACAACATCCCCACGATACATGAGGCAGCATGCCATGTACTTGCCATGTCTTGGATCACACTTGACCATCATGCTTGATGGCTCAAACACGGCTCTGGTTATTTCAGGCACTGATAGCTGCTCATGGTAGGCCTTTGCAGCAGATATCACAGGGGCATAAGATGAGAGCATGAAATGGATGCGTGGATATGGCACAAGGTTAGTCTGGAACTCAGAGATGTCCACATTGATTGCACCATCAAATCTCAAGGATGTGGTTAATGAAGATATAATTTGAGATATCAAGCGGTTCAAGTTAGTGTAAGTTGGCCTTTCTATGTCTAATGATCTTCTGCAGATGTCATATATCGCTTCATTGTCCAAAAGCACAACTACATCACTGTGCTCAATAAGAGCATGATTGGAAAGAACAGTGTTGTAAGGCTCAACAACTGCAGTAGATACCTGCATGGTAATGACAACACTAGTCACTACAGTAAGGACATTCCATTTGGATAATTTGGTGTGATAATGCAGAAATGCGAATAGTTAATAAGAAAAGCTCAACAACAAAACATGAATACCCTAAAGTGTGTAGAGCAACATACGTGAAAACATCTCTAGCAATTTTACATCATATCTTTCTGTTATTGAGATGAATATGCAATTTTCATCATTTACTACTAGAAAGAAAAAAAAAATAGTGCTAAGAGCACATTCTCTGATACTCTCTTTCCAATATATTCCTTCTTGTTGGTAGAAATTTATGTATGTCTCACCAAACGAGGAATGAGACCCACATTTAGTAGAACCCATATGAATAAAAGGCCATAAAATGTTATGAAGTCAACAAATGTTTGATGCTCCACCACAAACAGTTCATTTTACTGGACCTGAGGAGAAGGATAAATAATGAAGCCAAGTTTTGACTTCTTGCCATAATCTACAGACAAACGTTCCAAAAGCAATGATCCCAAACCAGAGCCAGTGCCACCACCAACAGCATTGAAAACCAAGAATCCTTGCAAACCAGTGCAGTTGTCAGCTAATTTTCTGATACGGTCAAGGCACAACTCTTCAATTTCTTTTCCAACTGCAGCATAGACACCAAACAAGTGACACTATCAGATAGAACATACCCAAGTTTTTGACACAATATGGAAGTGAGTGACTGACCTGTGTAATGTCCCCTTGCAAAGTTATTAGCAGCATCTTCCTTGCCAGAAATTAATTGCTCAGGATGAAAGAGTTGTTTGTAAGGACCACATCTTATTTCATCAATTACACTAGGCTCCAGATCAACAAACAAAGCCCTAGGGACGTACTGGCCATTTCCAATTTCACTAAAGAAGGTGTTGAAAGCATCATGTGAAGAATCATCTGAGGCATCACTGCAAGCAGATTTATGAGAATCAGTATTAGTTATGCCAAAGAAAAAAGGGAGAAACAATTAGAAGGGATTTGTTAAAAAAGCTAAGTTCTTATTCAAGGTAATGAGAAAATTAAAAATTAAAAAGTGAGCAAAAATTCAACTCCTTATAAATACGAGAACCAAGTTGTTTTTATTCTTTTGAGTTCAGACCCGCAAGTATAGCAATTCCACTATTTCAAAAAAACAAAAAGGCATTCTTAAAATTTTGTTAATGTGACAACAGAAATTAAAGGGTGGCAAGGATGGAGTAGCTATCAGCTAATGGGAAACTCAAACAGAAACAGAACCAAAAAAATTAAAATTATAGGAACTCACTGCGTTGACTCATAAGGTCCCAAAAGTAAGTCTCAACATAATTATTTTAGAAACTTAACTATAGAAAGTTGAAGGGGTATTAATATAGACCCAGTTTACAAGCTGTGGTAGCTACATTTTTTTTTTATACATTGGGAGCTACATATGAGTGTAACCAAAGTATTAACACTGTTTAGATATTAGTTTAAAAACACTTTTAAGAGTTTTTTACTAAAAAATACTCTTTATTTTTCATAGCAAAGTACTCATAAAGTGTTTCTAACTTATATCTAAAAAAATTCTTACTTACACGCAATAAATTGGCCCAAAGAGGAAATTGCAAATTGAATGCCTTAAACCTTTTATGAGTAGAAATAAAAAAAATAAAAGAGACTTTAATTTGCTTAGCTAATAACTACATGATTTTAGATCACCTTTTCTTTGGATTTGCAATGTTATTACCTCTCCTATGAGGCAGATAATAACAGAAAAGGTCACATTAAGAAAACCTATTTATGAGAAATAACTAAAACAAGGAAAATATTTATGCCAGTGGAAATCATTGAATAAATTGAGTAATTTCTCTTCGGGTTTGATTTTTCTGGCTTTGGAAGCAGAATTTCATATCAGCTTCGGTTTCTGAAAATAGGACACATATCTAACCAATGATTTTAACCTCCTTAACTTGACCAAGATATTATTTCAACATTATTTCTAACTTCTTCCCTTTCTTTTGTTTCTTCTCGTTTACTCATGAAATGAGAGAACTAAAGAAATTCCTTACTTGAATTAAAACCATAAATTACTCAAAATAGATTTTGATATGCCAATTCCATGACCACATAATTAACACAGATTTCCAAAGCCAGTGAAGGTTTAATCAATTCATGAGGGAAGCACATGATTGTGGCCCTTAATGTACTTCATTTATAGATACGCATGTTAATACACTACTCAACAAAAATGACCATAGAAAGATACAATGGAATACATGATACATAAACCAGAAGCCTAACAATTTAGAAACAAACATGAAATGTGAATGGCCCCATATGAAAACATAAAATTAAAAACTATAAACAATAGAATGCTCAAGCATAGGAATGCATCAAACGAAGAAAAACGAAGCAAAAGTTAAAAATAGATTAATAGAATTGCTTTCCTATGACCGATCCTGACAAAGAATTATAAAGGATCAACAGTGCTATGATGATCCAAAACAAAGCTCATGCATGCAAGATATGACATAACGTTGATCATATAGAACAATATACGGCAATTGAATCACAAGATATTGATCATAAAAGCACCCGCGGAATCAAGAAAATCCTAGATACTCCAACAACATTACATATAATAAATCAAACTAATCTCCTTCACAATACTATAACAGGTCTTAAAGGTTTTTGCATGTGACAATTTATACACTAAATAGATCATTCTCGTAATATGAGAACATGTTTAATCACTACTTGAACCCATCCCGTTGTGAGATGTGACATAGAAATTGAATGATGACCTTAGATTAATTGTAAAGAAATTGCTATGATACATTGTGTTTCAAACTAATTTTTCCACAAAAAACCTCAAGATCCACATAAACTAAGATTGTAACCAAAATTGAACGTATTTAAGATTTACTTGAAATGCGAGAAATGAACATAAAATAGGGAGTAAGACCTGGGCATTGTTCCATCTTGTTGAATGCCATGTTCAAGGCAATATAGCTCCCAACATGAATTACCAACCTGAATTCCAGCTTGTCCTATATGAATGCTTATTATTTCTCTCATATTCTCTTTATCTCTTTCCTTCTACGATCCTAGTTATGCTTAACAATAGGAAATGCTAACCCAAAAACAAGAATCACAAGGCTCAAAAAAAGAAAACTAAAAGTAATTACAAGGAAGAGGGAACTGCAAAATAGAGAAAACAAAGAAGAAAAAGAAGAAGAAACTCTAATAAAAGAAGAAGAAGAAGAAACTGTTTTTATCTTTTCATCTCTTAACGTTGCAATCAAGAAATGTTATTAGTGCATGAAGTTCCAAAACCTATAAACTGAGTTTTACCATTGATTAAATCCTCAAATTAATGAACGATACTTGATTAAAATTAATCGGGCACCGGCCATTTGGCACCAACCGATTGGAACGGTTGAATTTTTATTATTATTATTTTTGACATGCAAGAATTAAACAATTCACTAAAACAATTTTTTTAACACCTTTTATTTGTAAAAATTTATGTAAATCATTAAATTATTAATGTGAGAATATTGAATCCAATAAATGAAGAATCAAACTTCCATATTTAAGAAAAATTACATGAGTGTGAATGAGTTGTTCCACTTATATTAGTTTTTATTTTTATTTTAAATTCTAAATTTTAATAATAAAAATAGAGTAAAATATTTTTTTATAATATAAAATAAAAAAAAATCTCGTACGGCTGTTCAAAAATAGATTTTTATTGGTTTATTTAAAATTATATTTAATGTAAAAATTAATTTTTAAATAAGTTAATAAATCAAATTTGACTTTTAAAAAGATCAAATCAGACTGGGAAAAAAGATATAATAAATAATAGGTCAGTTTTAACCTTCAATTTTATAGAATTAACTTACATATTTAAAATTTTGTCTAATCTGACATATTTTCATACCTAATCATGAGTAAATAATATTGTGTGTTTCCAATCATGAAGAGCTTTACATATCAATTATTTAAAATTATTGTAAGAAATGATTTTATTAATTTTTATAATAATTATTTAAAATTATTTTCTAACATGATTTTTTATCGATTAATATCATGATAACTTTAGTGTTTTTCAATCACAATTGTAATGTATGGTAAGTTTTTAAATTTAAATGTATTTTTTTTCAACCACTCATGTATGAAAAAGAAATTGAAAGAAAAAGCAATTCATTTATATAAATAAATCTAAATATTTTTTTAGTTTGTATAATTTCACATACTTTACCTTTTAGTTCTTATGATTTAAATTAATTTTTTGGATTAAATAAATTTTTAGTTCCTCAAATTTAACTTAAATTAACTTTTTTAGTCTCTTAAATTTAAAACTAATATTTTTAATCTTGTAATTTCAAAAAAAAATCTTGTTTTTGTCTTTATATTCAATTTTTGTTAACAAATTGTCAAATTATGTAACATAAATGTACTTACGAGTGTTTTTGTTAATGAAAACATAATATTAAACTCAACTGATATCTTATTGTCTTAATCTGTCACTTTCAGATATATTATTGGTTATTTGAGGAATTAAACAAGATTTTTTAAAATTATAGAGACTAAACTTGACTACAAACAATAGTTTTAAATTTGAGAAATCAAAAATAAATTTATCCTAAATTTAAGAAACTAAAGACCTATTTAAATCTAGTTTTTCTTTAGTCCTTATACTTACCTTTTCAATCATTTTTAGTCTTTATAGTTTAGAAAAAAAAAGTTTTTATAAAAAATTAATAACAAGGACTAAAAAAATTAAAAAATTACAAATATATGAACTAAAAATATCTATATTAAACTATAGAGACTAAAAAATTAAAAAGATAAATATAAAAATTAAAAAATATATATTTTAAATTATAAAGATTAAAAAGTAAAATAAATGAAAATATAAGGAAAAAAATATTTTAAGTCTTTTTTAGTATTTAATATATAATGACTAAAAAAGTACATCCATCATAAAATAATATAAAACAATATTTAAGTTGAAACATTTTTTATATTTTATTTTAATCAAACAAAATTTAGTATTATTTGGGTCCATAATTTTTTATATTTAAAGTTTTTACATAATCTTTAAAAAATATTTGATATTAATATGTTAAGTTCAAAATACTCTCATTTAATATCTCTAAATGGATCATTAAAATAATAAAAAAAATTGTTAAATAGAGATACATGTTAAAAACATGAAAAAGTATTTAATCTTTTTAGACTTTATCTTTTTATATTTATTTTTATTTCAGTTGATCCTTAAAATTTGTCTTATTAGAAAATAAACTGCATAAACTTTAATTTCGTAATAATTAATCCTTAAACTTTTATCATGTTTACAAATGAACACTTTGATTTCAATTTTATCTTAATTAATTTTTAATTTGTAAAATAGTCTCTTATATTATATTAAAATTAAATTATTAAGATAAAAAAACATCAATCATTTATTTATTTTAAATTATGTTTACTAATTAGTTTATTTTACATATATTAATTTTATTTTTATATATCACTTTTCTATATATAAAAATATCATATAATTTATAATTAAAAAAATCAAATAATGACTTTTTTTTAATTTTTTTCATTATTCTCTTTTTTTTCTTTCTAAACTCATATTTCTTATATTTAAAAAATAATTACAAAAGAAAATTAATGAATGATTGATATTTAAGATAAATAATTTAACTATAAACTAATAGTAAAAATTATTTTATAAAAAATAAATTATAAACATCTATTAGAATGAATGAAAAGTTGAGGATATTTATTTATAAAAGAAGTAAAATTTAAGAGCTAATTGAAATAAAATTAAAATTTATGATATTTATTTTAAAATGAGATAAATTTTAAGGATTAACAAGAATAAATTTAAAGTTTAGAGGATCTATTTGTAAAATAAGTAAAATCTAGAGTGAATGAATATTTAAATAAAAATAAAAATAATAAAAAGATAAAAAAGCTAATTAATATTACTTGTGTAAAAAATTAAAAAAAATAAAGAAAATAAAAATTCAAAACTAAGAAAAAAAACATGAAATAAAGGGAGTAATATTCTTTTTAATACTCTAATGTAGATCACAGATTTTTGTTCTTCTTATTAAATAAAATGAGGATAGTATATAATCGATTTTAGTTAATAATTAAGAAAGTGACATAAAGGAGAAATATTCCTTTTCTTTCCAAATTAAAAAATCTCTTATAAAATTCCTTTTTTTTTCTTTTTTTTTTTTATCCATCCGAACACAGGTTAGTGTTTTCCACTATGTTCATTCATTGTTTTCTGCCAACAGATTCATTTCATTGGGAGCAACTGAGGCAGAAAAAAAGACATCATATGAGATGGAAGCTGGTAAGATAACCGCGAAAGGTGTGGCTCTCATCATCGGAGACAGCAACAACATCAGAGGTTCTCTTCACTTTCTTCAGCACCCAAATGGTTCCTCTCTCTCTCTCTTTTCATGTCTCTTAGTTTGTATTGTATTTTCAGTTAGAAATGTTTAGTTGCTTATTGTTGGTTTCATTGTGATTGTGTAGGGACCATCCATGTGACAGGGAGAATAACAGGGTTGTCACCAGGCTTGCATGCCTTCCATATCCATGCTTTTGGTGACACCACCAATGGCTGCAACTCCACTGGTTCTTCTCTCTTCTCTTCTCTTCATCAATGTTTATCATCAAAGATCAAACTCCTGCAATTCCTCTTGCAACATATGTTTTATTGGAAAATAGAAAAAGGGGGGATTTCGATTTGTAAATAGGAAGATTGAGAATAGTTGAAACTTTAAATTAAGGGTATAAGAAAGCTTGGATTCATTTTTTGATTGACTTGTCTTGTGTGTTTATAATGGTTATTATTAGAAAAAAGAAAGAGAAGATAATCATGCAATGAAAAGCTTTTTTTTTACTGTCATTGAATCACAAATTGTCGTATAACTGAAAATTGTTGGTGATTTCTAATTTTGTTGGCAGTGTAAAATATTTTTTGCTAAGAGAGTATCAAAATTAAACTGAAGAAATAAAAGTGATTCCTTTTTCCTACAAATTAATCTAAATTAATCAATTAAGTTATAGCTTAAACTTTATCTATTTTACCCCAGGTCCTCACTTCAATCCACTCAAGAAGGATCATGGGGCTCCTTCAGATGATGAGCGTCATGCTGGTGATTTGGGCAACATTGTTGCTGGCCCTGATGGTATTGTATTTTCTGCTTTCTTTTTTCATATTTCTTTTGATACTTCTGCTTGTTTGTATAAGTTGTCTCCTGGGAAGTTTCCAAAGAGCTTTCTGTTTTGCAGGAGTTGCTGAGATTTCTATTAGAGATAGACAGGTAAAGAATTAAACTTCGGGTGTTGTGTTGTCTTTAGTTGATACCACTTTAGTAATTTCGTTCTCTTTGTTCTTTTAGAGAATCTACATATTTATTACCTTTGTTCTTTGTTGATAAAAATGTGCTTGTGTTTTGCAATGTCGATCATTGTTTTCATTTGGTTGGTATTTTCATTTATGAAATCTGAATGTTGTTAAATTGGGCCTAGAACACTTAATTTCCCGTTTCTCTCTTTCAATATGTAGATTCCACTAACTGGAGTTCACTCCATAATTGGGAGGGCTGTTGTTGTGCATGCTGATCCTGACGATCTTGGAAGGGGTAAGATTTTGAAATTTGGGCACAGAACATGTTTCACTAGGTTTCCTCCTGTTTCATCTTTGAAATGTAGCTTTACTTTTCCCCTGGTCATGTTTTATATTATAGTTTCATTGAAGTAATTTTCCTATGATAGCAAAGTTGTATTGAGTTCCCTTAATGCTTGATATGGAAATCTTAATGTTTGTGAATTACTAGTGTAGCGCATATGCATGTTCTTGTGTGTAAGCCTCACATCTAAGTAGCTATGTAATGTACAAACTAGTCCTAGTATTATCCTTCGATCAGAATTTAATCTTTGAATTTATTTATGTGCACGATGAGTTAGTCCTTATATTTACAAATCCATATCTTGTTAGTCCTTAGCCAAATTGAGATACAAAGGGGAGTAACATGATGCAAGTTTATAATAATGAGAGAGACTAAAGAGAGATTCTGAATAGTGTTGTTAAATGGCGGCGCCATAATGGTATGGCGGTGGCCGCCGCATTCCGTTATGGCCTTTGGCCTCTGTATGGCGCGGGCCTGCCATTTTGCATATGGCAGCCGTTATGGTGGTAACGGCGTGGCGGTTTACGACAGTCATGGTGCCCGTTTTGGGGCTCCCACTGTCCAGTGCATTGCATACTTCCTTTGAGACACAATGAAACTGTAGTTAGATTGAACAACTTCAATACCTAAAAGATATTTGAGAGAACCCAAGTCTTTGGTTTGAAAGTGATGGAATAGACCAAAAGTCATTAGCTCAAGTGATTTAACGGTTAACACTTATATTCTTTAACTAAAGGCCGACGTTCGATCTTTGACCTAAGTCGTAACTAGAAATATCACTTTATCTTATAGAAACTGACTACCTTCTTATTAAGCAAAAAAAAAGGTGATGGAATAGGTATTGTTTTAGTTGATAATGTCATCCTGGTCATTCCTTGTTATAATAATGTCATCAACATATACAACCAGATGAATGCATTTTCCCTAGAAATATGCTTGTATAAATTAATAAGATTAGATTCACTTCAACCCTGCCAAATTATTGCAGAATTATACTTAACCTTCAAAATGATGCACAAGGAGACTGCTTTACAAGGTTATCAGTAAGGTTATACGGCCGATGGCGGCAAGGACCTTTAAGTTCCATATTGTCATGGCGGTCTATGGCGGAAAAAAAAAATTATCTATATATATATATATAATATGATGCAAAAATAGAAAAATAACAAACATATATTAAAACCAACAATCTAAAATTCATGGCATTCATAATCTAGTGATAGTCATCATAAAAAAACATAAATTCCTAACCGACAAAAAGATTAAATAGCCATCAAAACAAAGAAACAATGTTAGAAAATAGCAAAACACAATGACAATTCCTAAAACTATTTTGTTTAATCCTCTTCATCCTCATCAATGTCAGCATAATTAATTTTCACATGATGATGTTGCTCATTTAAAAATCCTTCAGCTTCTTCTCTATCTGAATGTATGAAATTAGCATTTGGCACTAATTCCTCCTCCTCATTGCTTGAATCTTCTGATGTCTCAACTTCTTCAACCTTTTTCTCCTTGTTCTTTGAAGCTACTCCTTTGGCTATTTTAGAAGGATTAGTAGATGTTCCTACTTGCCCCTCTCCTTTTGTGACGCCTGGTGCATTGTCTAGGCTCATCAAGTCCCGAAGCTTGATAAACTTGTCTTCAAGTAAGGTCATCATCTTCTTCATGAGCCCTCTCATCTTCACCTTCTTCCCCATCCATCTCTTCAATTAGCCACTCATTGAAATCATCAATCCCATTAAGACTAATTGGATCGATTTTATCCTTAAGGTTATACCTTTGATGGAGTGCTTGATTATACTTGACAAATACCAAGTCATGTAGTCTTTTATGCTCAAGTCTATTCCTTCTCTTAGTATGAACCTAAAACAATTAAATAAAAACTTATTACTTAAGGAATAATAAGCAAGACATTGATTGTTGACTTTAAATAAGAATGAAGAAGTTAATTACTTGCTCTAAGACGCTCCAATTACTTTCACAATCCGAAGCACTAAATATCAAGCTAAGGATCCTTATTGCAAGTTGTTGCAAATATGGAGTATCTGAACCATACATCCGCCACCATTGAGCTACAAATGCAAACAAAATATGTTAAACATAGACACTTGAGCAAATGACTTAAAGAATAAAAGTTCAGAAGTTGCAATGTTTTGTCTCTTACCCGGTGCAACTGCACCTCTCATTGCTATAGCAGTTGTGGACCCAAACATACCACTCGCAGCTTTATAGTGAGCCAACTCCTTATGAACAATATTCTTCATCTCCAAATCTCCTAGCAATTTATTGATACAATTATACAAACCCCTAATAATCTCACCATTAAACTCCATCTATGGGTTGGCATAAAAGAACTCCAGGTTCAAAAAGTGACCAGTAGCATGTAAAGGGCGATGAAGCTGAATATCCCATCTTTTATCAATGATTGCAAACACATCCTTGTATTTGCTTTCATTTTTAAAAGATTTCATAATGGTTTCCTTTGCCTTGTCCATTGCCTCATATATGTAACCCATGGCTGGTTTTTTCTCACTATCCACAAGCCTAAGCACTTTCACAAGAGGAGCCATCACTTTCAGAATGAAAATTACATTCTTCTAGAAACTAGGCATCAAGACAGTTTTAGTGGCTTCCTTTCCCTTGGCCTCCTTTGCTAGCTTGTTTTCATTCCACTCTTCTGACACAAACATCTTTCGAAGATTAGTTTTCTCTTGATGAATCCTCATCAAGGAAAGATAAGATGTTGCAAATCGAGTGATTGCATGCTTCACTAACTCCCTCCCACCAGTAAAGAACCTCAACATGCTCAAAGTGCTTAAATGGCTATAAATGAAGCCAACAAGTGAGATAGCTTGTTGAATGGTATTCTTTATATTGGGCAGCTTACCAATGTCGTCTAACATCAAATCTATATAATGTGCAACACAAGGAGTCCAATAATTTTTTTTTTCTTTTTTCCTCTAGCAACCTACCAACAAGAACATAATTACTTTCATTGTCCGTTATAACTTGGACAACCTTTTCCTATCCAATCTCCTCCACAATAGAATCCAACAACTCAAATATCTTTTCACCGATCTTTACATAGGAAGATGCATCAACCGACCTTAAGAACATTGTTCCAGAAGAGGAGTTCACCAAAAAGTTGATTATGCTTCTTTGTTTCCTATCAGTCCAAGCATCTGACATTAAAGAACACCCAAAACTTGCCCATTGATCCTTTAGTGGCTTCATTAATTTATTAGTGTACTCCACCTCTTTTTGAAGGAGTGATACTCTAATGTCATGATAGGAAGGACCTTTCAAATGCTTCCCAAAATGCCCAATTTCACGAAGCATATCTTGAAAACTTTCCAACTTTATTAAATTGAAAGGTATGCCAACTTGGTACCAAAAGCGTGCTATATATTGGTATACCCTTTCTGTAGCTTTTTTTTAATCACAAAGCTCTCTTATGCCCTCTTGCACCACCTTGTCTTTCCTATTTTTTGCAGCTATAGATTGAGATTGATTGTAAAGGTCCATAGGTCCCTTCCTAATATCCTTCAATCTAAAATCACCAATTGGAGGTAGTCGAGAATCAAAACTTCCAAATTTCATAAATCCTTCTTCACATTGTGCTTCAATCTCTTGCATTGCCTTCTTGAATGCTTCATTTTGCCTCTGCTTCTTACCATCCATAATTGTCTTTATCTCAACCTTGACAACTTCAAGAGCCATCAAACAAGCTGTAACATTGCCCGCCTTTCCAATCAAATGTTTGACCCTTGTGATACCTCCTTTCATAACCTTTCGGCAATAGTTACAAAGAATCTCATTTGTATCATTCTCTCTCACTGGTGTACAGTGCTTCCAAGCAACATCATTCCTCTTAGAATTAATGGAATTGGAAGATGACATTGTTTGTGACTGGGTGTTTGATTCTACCTCCGCTTACATTGTCGTAGACTATGGTGGTCGGGTCGGATGCAGTGGTAGCAGCGACGGTAGAACTCAAAGGAGGAGGCGTGCGGAGGGAGAAGGAGTGGTCACGCGCAGAGGAGGAACCAGTCGCACGTGGAGGAAGAAGAAAGTCACGTCGAAGGCAACGGTGGCAGCCGCATCGGAGGCGACAGTGGTGGTGGGTCTCATTGGAGTAGGCATGTGTTGCACGGAGGAGAGGAAATGTGCATTAGGGTTTTTGCGGCAACCCTATTTTGCAACATTAAGTTACTGGGTCGCGGGTTGCCCAACCCGGAAACTCGGGCCCAAACCAGAAAAAATGAAAAAAAAAAAAAAAGGCCCAAAACGGCGCCATGACCGCCATGGACGCCTTGGACCGCCATGCCGTTACCGCCGTAACGGCCGCCATATTCAAAATGGCCGATCCCCGCCATACATAGGCCAAACGGCCATAACGGATCGCGGCGATACCATACATAGGCCAAACGACCATAATGGATCGTGGCAGCGACCTCCATACCATTATGGCGCCATTATGGCACCGCCTTAATGGCCATTTTATAACACTGCTGCTTTAAGACATAAGAGAGCCCTTAAAAGTTTGCAAACTAGATCAAACTCTTCCCAAGTAACTAAACTAGGAAGTTGCTCTATATAGATCTCCTCTTGAAGTACACTCTAAAGAAAGGGGGTTTTAATGTTAGCTAAAATAAAGTCCAAGAATGCATGACAGTCATGGCAAGGAATAGACAGACAATTGATATCTTGACAATGGGAGAAATGGTATCACCATAGTCTTGATCATAAACTTGAGTTAACCCTTTTCTGACTAAGTAACCCTTAAGGCTTGCTTAAATCAATCAACCTAACCACTTGGACCAATTTTCAGTGTAAATCCAATGAGACAATGACAATCAACCGGTGATTTACCTAGATGAAGAGGAAGTAACTGCCAAGTGCCATTAGCATGAAGTGCAATCATTCGTGCAATCATTCTTCCATCATTGCATGACGTCTCTAGTGGATTTAGGAAAGGGACAAAAGTACATTATAGAGAAGGGCAAATGATGAGAACTAAGAAATTTATAAATAGGATAAGTGTTACAAGTGAAACAAGTACCTTTCTTAATGGAAATTGAAAGGTTATCACCAAAAGACAGATCTGTAGCAAATAGAGATGTTGGAGCAAGAATCTATGTCATGTGTTTATGCAGTTGGACCCATTTTCTATTCCATTAATTAGGATTCAGAAAATTGTCACATTTTGTAAGATATGCTCTCATTATAATTTCATTTTCAAAGTATTAATAGGTTTGTATACCTCCATAACTATGATGACCTAAATAAATGGGGCAATCATGAGATGTGCATCCCTAAAATACAAAGCTACAGGAATCACCGAAAGAATGTGATGGAGGTCCAAAAGTTTGGACAATTCTAAGTGAGAACTGAAAGTTAGTTTCCTGTCTGGTTAGTGTACTGTCCATTGCAGCCTAAGATTTTTTTTTATGCACTACACTAGTAAGAACATTTTTTTAACATACAGAAGAATATAAAAAAAATAAATAAGAAGAGGATTATAATCACCCATGAAAGAGATTTATATCTTTATGAAGTAACTTCTTGTCCTGCATAAAAAGGATTGCGATAATTTTATATATGTACTATTTAGAGTTGAAAAATCATAAAGAAACTCTCCTATATATTTTTCATTTCAGGTAAAGAGGGCAGTAACCAAAGCTACATAGTATTGCTGTTTAAATTTTCTAATTAAATACCAGTATTATGCTAGTGTAATCTTCAGATGAATCCTTGTAGTTTGTTGAGCTAATGGAGATGTGATTTTTTTTTTCTTGAGCTTGTTTGCATTTCTAGAGTTCAAAGTGGACTAAAATTCTGTTCACCACTTACCCTGGCTTTCTAGCCGTTATTTATAGATTAAGACCATAACTTTCACTGTTTAGTTTTTTGTATTTGTATCTGATCAACATTTTTATGTGTTTTTGACTTTTTATTTATTTTAAAACAGGTGGACATGAACTCAGCAAAACTACTGGGAATGCAGGTGCAAGAGTAGCATGTGGTAATACTCGCTGTTGTTCATATTGTTTCCAGACATTAATAAACTATGATCTATTCCAGGAGTTTAATCCATTGCGTGCATAATTTGTTCGTGGTTTAGTGACTCATTTTTTTCTTGTCATACTATAAAATAGGCAGGATTGTGGAAACACATTTTAGTCAGGATGATATAACCTTCTTGACTCATACCATGACAAATTATTACTTCCTCCGTTCTCAATTATAAGAAGAAGAAAAAAACACATTTTTCTCTTAAATATAAATAAATTTCAACTATGTTTGTCTCATTTAATAATACTTTCTCTAAAATATTCTCTCTTTAATGTATGATCTTTCAGCTGCGGTATTTCTTTTGACATTTATAACAAGTTATGTTATGGAATTTGTAAAATTTAATATAGATAACTAATTTTTTTAATATACATAAAATTAGTTTATTTTTCTTATAATAGAAAACAGATGAAGTATTACTTTATTAGTTGTTGTCTATTATATTATATATAGTTGAAGTGGTTGTAAATGTAATCATTCTTATCAACAAGTAAATTAAACTATCATGTCACATCATAGTGTTAGATTTTAATTTGGTTTTATACAACCTGTTGCTGCTTCATGCTTTGTATGTTGAAACCTGACAATTGCTAATTGTTGATCAGGCATCATTGGGCTGCAGTCATCTGTCTAGGATAGTTTGCCACAGATGGTGTATAAAATGTCATCTGACTTATGGAAGAAATTACAATCATGCTGTAACTACTTTTATAGCAACTCTCGTGACAAATTAAAGTTCTACGCATGTTTGTTTTGGGGCATTCTCGCGTTCATATGCACGTTGAACGTCAATCCTTGTCTCACGTTGGATTGGCACTCACGTTGTTCCAAACAGTAACACACCTTATATTGTCACTTGGTTTGACTGCTTCTAGGTGAGGACTGGGGTGGAGTTGCTATGCTTAAACTGCTTGTGATGTTTAGTAAATATAAGCCACAAAATGCAACAAAAGATTATAGTCAACATTGTATTCAAGTAGATAAACACCAAGTCAAGGCCAGTCCAACAATAAGTGAGCTCTAAAGCAAAATTTGGGAGAGAAATTTGTTCTTTACACAAAAAGGTATATGTTGAGCTTTTTGTCAACTTATGAAGCTTTTTCAACATTTGTGGTCTTTTTTTCTTTATAAATACTAATAACACATTTTTTATTAGTGGTCCTAATGGCTCAAGCTTTAGCAGTTTTACCCTTGGGCCGATCCTGTACTAACCATTGAGGCACTCCATTCAATATTAAACATGTGGGAAGTTGTATGACATGTTAAGAATGAAGTGATTTTTAAAGAATGCATTTTTATACACACCATTTGTTGAAGGGTATGCCCAAAAAACTGTCCCCATTTAGTGAACATATGAAATTAATTCCTACTACTACACCACACAATCTATTGTAAAATTTGTGATTGGGATTAGGGATACACAGTTTAATCACGTTTAGCTATTTATAATTAATTTCATCAAAGATCAATTTTACTTATTTATTAAACAAATGGATCATATGTTTGACACTGTTTAACCAAGAATTTCTGCATAAGTAGGATCTTCAACGTTACTATACGAACAGAAAATACTAAGGTTAATTTAATACGGTGCTATCTAGGCATTTGCAAAATATGTTATAAAGATCTTATTATGTATGTGTGTCTATATAACACAAAAGTATGAAATTTTAAATATAAATCTTAGATTTTTTATATGATCACATTATTGATATAAAATATTTATTAACTTTGTTGATAATTGATCTTTATTGGATAACTTATTTGTTCACTTTTAATGAAATTTTTTCTTACCTACATTTTCTTTATTCACAAAAATTAAAACATAATACTTAAGAGAATTGACTCTAGTATCACTCGAGATATAAACCAGAACTTTGAATGAAAATCATTGTATTCTTCCTGTAAATTTCTTTTCAATTTTTTGTGGATTACTTGCTTTAACACTTGATATTGTTTAAGGCCATTATATAAATATTCCTTGTGAAAAATAACTGTGCCACATGTTATAGCTACACAAGATTTATTTAAAATTACTTTTCTGTATGTGTTTTTATTCATAAATCATATATTAATATCAAGAAACTATCATTTAACTAAGAAGAAAAAATTGGTGTTGAAAAAAAAACCTAGAAGAAATTAAATCGTCTACATGAAGTCTTACTTTTCGTAATTGAGATTACTGGGGGAAGACTTTCGTTATTAAAGCTTAATAAATTATTTATAATATACTTGAAAAAATGTTATATAATTGAAAAAATGTTATAATAATTACATTAAAAGTTATAGTTAGACTAATCTCAAATTAATTGATAATGATAAAAAATCAACTTTGTAATATATCAAAATTAAATTTATAAAAATATCACGTCATGAAAAGCTTATATTCTTGTAGTTGGGGAGCACAAAGCATTATTAAACCCTAAAATAAGTCAATAAAATCTCATCATCCTACCAATAACATTTTTATATCAAAAAGTAACTCAATATATTACTCTCTAAAATATCCAAGAATTGAGACGCTACCCCAACAGTGTACTAATGGAAAAACTAGTACTAGTAACCCCTAGTAGTATACTTCAGTTTAAAGGATTAATGCCTTTTGTCAAAATGTGCTAAAAGGAGTAATCTATCATGGGAAAGAAAGCCATGATTCTCTCCATATGCGAGGTGAAAAGCAACAGCACGAGCAAGTTTATTTACAACAACTAAGAGACACATTACACATAAGTAACCAACTGAAACTAATTAAAACAGTCACAATGTAGCTGTCGTACATTGAATTCAAAAGACAAACCAGTCCTGGAACACCCCCAGCACCATTAGACTGTAGCCAATGATTAACTGGCTGAGGCCACAGCGGAACTAACGCAAGAACACGGTTGTATCTCATCTCTAGCCTCTCAACCAAGTGTTCCTGTAAGATGAATTGTCTCGCAGAGAGGCGTCATGGGGCTTGTACTCCATAACATAGCTGTGAGGAAGCTTTAAGTGGCGTTTGATTGAATCTCTCAGAGCCATTACGGCCTGTAATGAGAAAGCAGGAACAATACTAAGGACAAGCATGAACGTACATTTGTATATACTATTAGGTTCAGTTATAATGCCAACCTGATGGTCTGAAGCATTGCGATTCCAGACACTCAATATATCCTCGTTGAAACGAATGCTTAGTACTGCACCACATATGTTATCCCCATAATCCAATTGGTCACCCACTAAGGCAAGAACCTGCATTTAGCCATGTAATACTATTACAAATTTCAAGTCTCCAGCAATAGAAAACAGCAAATACATTTCTATATGATGGGATAGATCATGAAATCAAATTCACCAAGCAAGAGAGATTCCAAATAGTAATTTAGCTGGTCAATTGTTCTATCATCATTAAAACTTGCAACAGTGTAAGAAAAGGCTTCAGATCAATAAAATGATGTGGAAACCAAACAAAAAGCATATAACTTGATATGTTGCTGTTACATACTGTTTGTATTAATGCCCAACGAATCAGCATTATTCACCCAGGCACATTGAACACCATTTGGCACAAATGATCAAGTAATAGCTACATGACTATATCCCAGTAAGCGTTGTTATCCATTGAGGTTTATGATTACTGATTAGGGTACCCAGTTTTACCTGTTACATTTAGAAAAGTGGTCTAAACTCTAATCAAAAGAGGGGATAGTCAGGATTCAAGAAGCAAAATCATCTAGAATAATAAATACAAAAAAAATTCCATTCAACAAATAAGAAAAGTCATTTGGATTGAGCTTATTAGTCTTACTTCTCAAATTTGGAATAAGATATATTTTAAAACAACCAGGTGCTTACGAGTTAAACTTCAGAAAACAAATGGTTCAAACACTTGAAATTGACTAGTACAACATTACTCTTATGGTATAAGCAGAAAGTAGTTTCCCCGAGAACATTTTCCTGGAAATTAGTTAACTGAATAATAACTACACAAACCTATTTCTACAATGTTTCCGCCTCAAGTAATTAGAAACAGACCAACCATATTTGAAAATTAGAAACTAACTCGTTAACAAGTCCACATACTATAACAAAGGTGGATTTTTTTATTTTTTGTGGAAAACATACAATGTGTAGTTTGCACAAATTAAAATAACAGGTAGAACTAATGAAGACCTAGCTACTTAACATCATTCCACTGCAAGGACCATGGATGAAAAATATTAGGGAAACGAAAGTAGCCCCATGCTCTGGTGTTTCTAAAAGGATTAGGTGTCAGTGGTTCTATTTAAGTCCAAAAATCATTTGGTAGTCTTTGATTGGATCTTAACTATCACACAAGATCGGACTGCACATCTATGAACCCCCAGAAGAATTGAAGGGATTAACAGTTCTATTACACAACAAAAGAGGGCCGAAAACAAAACAAAAAAGAAATTTATTGAAGGGCTGAACATCAAATGAATGCACTGTGAACAACCCTATGGAAATCATGCTTTATAAATGGAGAAATTCAGAGACAAATTTCTAAATAATATATTGGAATCTAAATCTAGGTTCCTGTCTTCAATTTCAGCTGTGAAAGTCAACAAAACACTTGACGACCATAAAGCATTTCAACTACTTGAATATTGTATTATTTTAATGGAAAATTTAGATTTCAACAAAAACAACCAAGACTTGTACTACTGAGTAGGATCAACTACATGGATCAAACCATGCCATTGGATCTATCAAAAACCAAAATTTCAGTAAATAAAACAGCTACATGTACTAATTATGTCATTGAGATCACCAATAAATTAAAGTGTTCATTTTCCATAATCATGCCAGACATTTTTGTCGAGGAAGACACCAAAAGATGTTATAGATGAAAAGATTTGCACTTACCAGGTCCTCCCAAAAACGGCCTGAGACAACCTTTTTGAATCGTATAATCCATTTACCACCATTGCAGTTAGCAGAGTCCTTCAGAAAAAAGAAGAAAAAAAAATTCTCTGTCAGTAAACACTAAAAGATATTTGTGAAGGACACACCTCCCCTTTCTCCCCCTCGGAAAAATGGAACAGCTAATAAATTCTCAATCAGCAAGAAAATGCAACTTCAGCTGCAACTTTTAAGTATCTACCTCCCATAAAGGACGAATTCCTTCCTTGAAAAGGTGCAAATCTGTTGGACTGGGCAAAGAAGAAGGGCGAGCAAGATGGCAATAGCAGACCCAAAATCCTTCAACCTATTAACACGTACCTTCACCAAAGTAAGAATTTTTTTAATGAAGTGTGAACTTATATTCAACTACAGCCCACAAAGACCTCACCGTACTAAAATCAACGATTTTCTTTATGTTGTCCTCGTATGATGTTTGATTTCGGACTCCAGGTGTACGACGTGTGTACCAAAAGACAAATTTGTTCTGGTCATAGAAATTAGCACCAACACAAAATCAATCAACCAAAATGTCAAATCACACTAACACCCTCCAAGGAAGAGAAAAGATAGAGAAACAATCATAACTACCACACATAATCAACAAGCATGTAAAATCATCAAGACCCTGAATCTAATCTGTAGTGCATAACCAACTCGCATATATCTGCTTCAAAGCAAAAGCACCTAACATAGCCAACAGCATTCAATCAACTCTTCCAGAATCAAACTCATTCCTAAGTCAAATTGAAATATCTTAGACACATAGTGATACAACAAACAAAGCTACCCTTAGACAAAACTTTAACCAAAAACAAACCCAAACAGGGTAGTAGAATCCAGATTCATATCATGAATAGGAAGACCTGTGTTCCAAATTGTGAACTAAATAGCATCTTGAATCTTAAGATTCATGATCAATAATAAAGCAGAGTATACAACTGAAAAAAATAGCGCAAGTTCATTATCAATAACTACAAAACAGATATTTAGGAACATTTTAACATTAGAAAAAAAAAAATCAAAAAGACATACTTTGAATTAAATAAAATATTAAAATATGTGACAACCATTTATTCGTATATGTACTTGGAATAAAAAAATATATATTAAAGATTTTAGATGTAATTAGATAAACTTTTTTAAAAATACATTTTATAAATTTATAGAAACAAAAAGTAATTTAAAAAACCTATATATATATATATATATAGAAAGAGAGAGAGAGAGAGAAACTTGTTTAAGATATAACTGTCAAAATCAACAAAAAGGAAAATACTGGAGGGAGGCACGTGAAACAGTGACACACGAGCCAATGGTCACTTTGTATGCATAATAGCAACTCTGTTTTGGCATCTCATTACCTGGTAAGAGTAAGACCACAAGCAAGTGAAGGTTGTGCACAGCAGACCCATGTACAAAGTACACCATCATCAGCCTATCTCCTCTTTTTCAACTAACTTTCACAGGGAAAAGCCTTTTACTAGGTTTTTCAAGGATTGGGTTGCACAGGATCCGACCCAGTTTGAGGTGTGACCACTTGGTGCCAGAATCACACAATTTATGAGAAGCAATCAATTCATCCGATTCAAATGCAATTCCTATGATTCATCATAGTATTCAAGCACAAAAACAATTTGCAGCACGATTCACATTGCCAGCTCTTTGAATCGAATCATATGTATTGTACCATGATGAATCGTGTATGTATTGTATCATGAATTGTGTATGCATTAATCATATCATGAATCATACGATAATGATAACCATGACCCAAAATTTTAATTTCTTCATTATCTTCCTTGGCAAATAATAAAAACCCACAATCTAAAACTTCCAATTCAATCATTACATCCCACCTCAACAAGTCTATGCGTTAGTGCAAACTTCAGTTACGCCCATAAATCACCAAAAATCATAGACATCAATAACCAGACTCCTCATTTCAAAAATTACATACCACTTCATTACAAAAATACAAAAACAACATACACTAAGCTCAAAGTCAAAATTACCCTAATCTAAGGAACAACCACATAATAATAATAATAGACAAAACTTAGTTGCAGGTCTTCATATGCTTTTATCTCATTCTCTAATCAGAATTAAACTTTGACCTTGCTAATCCGCATTACAAAATTCTCCACACCTCCCTATAGATCATCAAAGTGAAACACTCGTTCTCATCGGAGAAAAGCACGGAAACTGTATCTAAGCTTTATACCACTACTACTACTACCAACAATAAAACTAATAATAAAAATAACAATAATTTTGGGTGGTGAAGAATTGGAAATGGAAGTGAGAGAGCGAAACCTTTAGGGGGTGAAGACCGGCTTTGAGTTCACGGGCTTGTCGTTCTTCGGTTTCTTTGTTGGTGTTGCTGGAATCAAGTGCCGATGCCAATTGAGAAGAATCTAACGATTGGTGAACGTTTTCGGGGTTATTGGCGGTGTTGTTCTCTGCGTCCTTCTTCTCCGCTGTGAAATCCATTGTCGCTGCTTCCCAAACCCTAATCCCCTTTTTCAGCTTCTGCGTTCAAGCGTTGAGCTTCGTTCGGATCAGAGAAACGTTTCTCCCTTCGGTTTTTAAAGCTTTATAGGGCACCTTCATTTCACAATTATTTTAATTTTTTGTTTTCTTTTTTACGCGTTTCTTGACTGGAATAAGACTTGTCAAGTCATATATTAATATTGGATTATTTATTATAAATTTTAATTGTATAAAATAAAAAATTTGTTTTATATATTACATATGTTAAAATATTAGTTAAATTTAATGAGATATTTAGTTTAAATTTATATATATATATATATATATATAATTATTTTCAATATAGTTTTTATTAACTATTGCATTTAATAATTTTTAATTAAATAATATTTTCTCAAAATTTATCATTAGATTAAAAGTTTTTTTTATCTAGATTACACATACCGAATTTTATATCATAAAAATATTGAGAGGAAAAAAAAAAAGAAATAAATGAAGTAAGTAAATTTGTCATATTGATTAAGTCCACCCTCTTAAATTTGTGGATTAAGATTAAAAAGACTCACGATCATAGATCAAAAATTTCACTTATAAAAAAAGTTCATAGGGTCAAAAGGCCCACATGATCTATAGATTAGGATTAGTTCATGGATTGAGTTTTAAAAAATATTAATAAATTCAACTATAAAAAATTATCTTGATCTATTTCATGAGTCAACCTACTCCATGCGTTGATGATCGGATTATGTTTTGAAAATAACATTTTTTGTCACAAGTCAACAATTGGAGAGTCTAATGTATCTTAAGATATCGAAGACTTATGAGTGAAGTTATTCCTTTAATTATATTTTAATATTTTATATTGTTTATTATTTTGGTTCCTTGTCTATTTTAATTGTTGATCTCTTTTGTTGATGATTATTACAAAAAGATGGTGAAGAGAGGATGGGAAGTAGAAGATTTTTTTTTTATTTTTGCTCTCTTATTGTCATTTTACTAGATTTACTCAAAAATTATTGATTAGTAATGGATGTTGTGACAGAATCTTCCTTAGTTAATCATTTTACTTTGTTCTTATTTCTAAATTGTAACCGTAGCAATCGTAAAGATTTAGAAAGTTCTAGTACTATGAGTTATTTGTTAGTAATTTTTTTAGGTGATGCTTTTGGTTTGTTAAGCTTGTAAAAAGTATTAAATTCTTCTTTGTGAAGAAGACTAGGAAAAACTAAGTGATTGTTATTGATTTTTTATTGTTAGTTTATGTGGTTATTTTAATTTTGGTTAAATATTAATTTTATTTTAAAACTTTAATGTTGGTTAAAATATGAACTTTATTTTTTTTTTTACATATTATTTCTATTTTAAAATAAATTCATCTTAATTTAATGATTTCTTTATAAAAAAAATATAAATGAAAAGCTAACCCATAAAATAGACTAACTAACACATGGAGTAAGTTGACTCATGGGACAGATTAGGATAATTTTTTAAGAGAAAAAATCAATATTCTACCAAGGTAGGTAGTGGTTAGGGATGGCAAAAATACCTGCACCTGCGGGTATCTGCGAGTAAAATCCGCTACGAATAATAAATTGATAGACTAATCGGGTACCCGTGGATAATGAGAACGGATAATTTTTTACCCGTTTATAAATGGGGCGGGGGCGGGTATGATGATATTCATACCCGCGAATACCCGTTTAATAATATTTCTTAAATATCTTAATTATCCTTGTACCACATAACCCTAAAACTACACTCTCTCATCTTCTAAGAGTGTGGATGCTAGGTAGTTCTTCTCGTTGTGACTTCAGACGCAATCCAACCTTCTTAGTTTTTGTCTGTGCATTTGAGTCTCCATTTGGTCAGCTGTGCAAGATCTTGACTTCGTCTAGGATGCTTTGACTTAGTTTTGTCCATCGTCCATGGTCTTGTATCATCTGAGGCTTCATTATTTTCCTTCTTGTGCTGGGCTTGATTTCATTTGATCGTTTGATCTCCTCATCTGACGTCTTGTTAGCTTTTTCCCTTCATCTTGGTTTCTCGTGCTCTTGTTCTTTATTTCCTTTGTGTCTGCATTTGTGGGTGTCTTTGTCTGATGTATTTCCTTCTTTTGATCAGCCTTTATCCGGTGCTGAGCTCATATCTCTTGGTTTTGGTGTAGATGATAATACATGTATATTCTTTATTCTTCAGTTTGCCTGTAATTATGTCTTTATCTGAAATACTAACACACTTGTTAAAAATAACAATATGCATTATATTTGTCTCATTCAAAACCTTACTAGGAGTTGCTTCGTCTAACTTAACAATCTCCCCCTTTTTGATGATGACAAATATAATTGATCAAATGGTTTCAGATAAACTAAATTAGAGGTATTTGTATGTTATGGCAGATTGGCAGGTTCGTTATGTTTCTCCCCCTTAGTATATGTTCTCCCCCTTACTAGATTGTTTCTTTGCCTATTTCTGATTGTTTTTGATTAATTCTTTTCTATTTCGCCCCCTTTGTAATCATCAAAAAGAAATTAACACTAGGGTGAGTATCAAGGCAGAACGATAGTTTTTTTAAGAGGATCTCTATTTCAAAGTAAGTGGTATAACAAATGAGATTCCATGCAAGATTATTCATCATAACATTGATCAGAGCATTTTACTCATCAAGATGATAACTCTAAATGAAGCATATATACTTAGTTAGATTAGATTGAGTAGAACTGCAGATGTACACAAGAAAAAAATATGTACGACAAGCGAATCATACTATCACTTTTCTCATTTGTAGTCATCAAGAATGATGAGTTTCTACGGATATTCAAACATCAAAAATATTTATATAGTAAGCGAGATGCTTAGGGAGTAAGGGAACCTATAGTCATGAGCAGATCAATTTATACATCAACCAAAATTTTAAAAATGCATTGATCAAAATCAAAAATGTGTGCAACATGAAGACTCTATATAATCAAATGAAAACACTTTTTTCTATTATGATTATTCAGATGAAATGGATAAGTTTTTGGAAACAGTCTGACACTAGAAGAGTTATTATATCCAGCAAGAAAGGAAAATAGCATTGAGTAGATTATTCCCTATATCAGCCAATAATTCTAGATAAGAAAATGTAAATATATTATTGACTTGACTTAGAAATATGTACATCATGAGAAATTTATACAGAGAAGTTTTTACGCAATTATCCCTATTTTCCTATTTCTTCTATGGTGATCACAAGGTTTTGATATAGACGATGAAATTAATTATTATAGAGGGAAAATGAATTTCTGGTTAATATAAGTGATTTGAATAATGAATGTATTTTCTGCGTTTTGGGGTTTTGAGTGTAGGAAACGTATTTTGATATGTCAAATGATATTTTATGATGTTTCATGATGTTTGTGTTTATGATTGATTTATACGATGATGAATGTGGGTGTGTGTGTGTGTGTATATATATATATGTATATATATATATATATATAT